TCGACGATTTTGATAGTCGACGTAATCGTGACTAGTCGACCAATCGTGGCAGCCCTAGTGTGTTATCAGGTCACCTACAGCAGCGCTCTTCTTCTTCTCTGTCGTCCAGGTCTTTGGCTTCTTGGCGACTGTGGCGTTTTCCATCGACTTCGGCCTGATGGTGAAGACCAAGGGGCTTCCCTTCCTAATCAAAGACAAGAAGCAGGAGCACACTAACGGCATCCCGACGCCGGCAGAGGAGGAAAGACTCAAAACCAACGAGACAGTTTAAGTGTCTTTCTGCTCATACGCGTGAGGTCGCTCATTACTTTTCCCAATATTCCTCTAACATGATGGTGAAGGGGCGGAGCTTTCAATGCTGACCTCACGTCCATTTTTTTCTTTTTAAATCCAGTTTGTAGTTCTTTTCCCAGCGCTGAGGGCGCTCTGTTCAGACATCATCACCCTGTCGCTGTGCAGAGCGCCGAAAACGAGAGACACTAAAACCATCAAACCACTAAATCTTCTGCTGTAGTTTAGATTGTAGGATTTATTTTTACGCAGTTTGTGATAAACGCTTTGCTTTATCGTCCTGTTGTCATAGAAATAATCAGATGGACGAGAAGGAATCACAGAAGTGTTTTCGAAGGCGTCGGCACCTCCGATTGGTCCGAGTCTCTCCAGCAGAATCCTGATATTAAAATATATTCTCCTTACTTTTAATTTGAATGAAATGTTGCACACTTTTACCTCCTCAGACCAAGGAAAATATTCCTGATTGTTGAAGTACCGTCTGTGTGCCTGAACGCCTCACGATGCTCAGGTCGAGACTGAGAGCGTGCTAAAGTCGATTATTCATCAGCCTTACTTGTGTTGAAATGACTCGGAGTGTCCAGCAGGGGGAGACGTCTGCTCGTCAACCATCCAGGGGCTGTTTCATAAACGCTCGTTTAGTTGATGCAGACGAGTTAAAGTTCAATTCATGTTTTTTATCTGGACACTGTGGAAATACGGTCCTTTGCCAAACGTGCCTTAGTCCTCCTTAAATTCTCATAGCCTGTACCTAAAAGATGGACCTAGCTGCTGTGACATCACCTGTTGGTTGGTGATGCACGCTTTTTTTTTTTTTTTTTTTCTTTGAACGCTTTCACATGAAACGAGCGACAGACTGTGTTTTCCTACCAGAGTGGTCGCCCCCTGCTGGACGTTACAGAGCATTAGCTTTCAGGTCTTTTAATGTTTTGTGTCACTCTTGACATCATTTTAAAAGTGAAATTGTGCCTTTTTTTTTTAAACATACTTTTTTACTTCCTGTCTGTGTTTGATATCTTTGATGCCGTGTGGACAAATATGAATATCGGGGGTAATTTAGCAAAATCAGCTCAGAGCTTTTAATGATCTCTTTTAATGCTTTTATTAACTGTTATCACTAATTATGGCCTTGATGCTGGGCTCAAGCTCATCATCTGAAATCATAGTGACTCTTGGTGATTCTAATCGCTGACGTGTGAATGTGTTAAAATGTAACAATGAAAGGGTGAATATCAAAGTGTTTGTTTGAGGTTTTCTTCCGTCTTTGCTCTCTGCTGTTGGCGGCTGAAGCTGACGTAGCTGCAGGTGTGTGATGGCGTCGTGGAGGGGAAGCCTCCGCAGCATCGTTAAAGAGTAACATTAGAGAACTTGAAAAGGATACTGCGTGCCTACAAATGATTTAAAATTGAAATGTAAGAGGAATGGAGCTCTTTGAGTGAGCAGGGATTCTCCTTTTCTTCCTGTTGAAAGCAAGTTTTTCCTCCCGTCTGTCACTCGATGGGTTTTCTCTCCAGTACCGTCGGGCACCTCTGTCGTTGTAAATGTGCTCGTGGTTCAGTAATCCGTCCCCCCACACACACCCACACACACCCACTCAAACTTCACTAAAGTCACATCAAACTCTAAATTTTATGCCCAGAAAATGAAGCGGACTGCAGTTTAAAGGCAAACGCCATCTGTTTTTGTTTTTGTTTTTTTTACTACAAATGTAATATTTTTAAATGTTTAATTATAAAAAGTGGTTTTTTTTTTCTTTATTTCTGAGGTCTCATATTTTTTCTTTTTTTGTTTTGTTTTTTTAAATTGTGTCCATTTCTCCAAAGTCTCAGGACATAAAGTCACATTAACCATGAAATCAGTGAGAAGTTTGAAATTCAGAAACATTTGAGAGCACATGAAGCAGCAGACTAATAAAGGACGGGTTTTTATACAAACTTTTCTACGTTTGTAAAAATGAAAAACACTCTGTGATGACGAGGACATTTGTTAGTAATCACAGTACACTGGACACTTCCGTGTGTGTCGAACAATCTGAAATCATTTCTATTTGGGACCAAGTAAAGTTGATCTTCGAGACAGAGCCCGTTTGTTTTGTACATAAGTTTCTCTGATGTTTGTCAGCCTGTGTGTGAACGTACAGTTAGGATTTCACTGTCTGTAAGAAATTGCTGCAGTTTCTTTCTGTCACGTGATAAAGAGATTTTCAATAAATACACGTGTTCGGTTTCTGTTTTCACCCACAAACATGAAAAAGTTTGGACTGAAGGTAAGTTCTAGAAAAATCTGACCTCATGTTGAAACAGAGAAATGGTGTCAAAGCACCCACAGCGTCAGGAGGGTCTCTGAGGAACTCTTCATTAAAATTACATCAAACTTATGTCCTAATAAATAGATTCCTCGCAATGAGGGAGGAGCTTCAGAGAGGGCGTGGCCATGTGTGAGCCTGTGACTTCAGTTGGTGGAAGACTGAAGCACAGAGCAGTGTGACGGTTTTTATCACCACTGGAGCGGATTATTCTCAGTCTTCATTAGTTTTACTGAACGCTTGCTAATATTAACGATTTGTGTCAGAATCAGGAGACTTTGTTTCCATTATACATCAAAGTGCAACATGCATAGTAAAACTACATTAATGAAAGAAAAAAGAAGTACTGTGGCTGTGTGGTCATGTGTGTATATGCAGATGACAATGAAATCAATAAAGGCTGACATCATCAGTAAGTAGAGAAATTTACACATGCTTCCCTTAGGCAGTATCATCAGAAGACATAAGGTCTTGATGCATCTCAATCATCCAGGTAAGTAAATCTCCAGAAGCTGATTCTGTTCATCTGGTCGTAGCGTTTTGTGGGAGAAACGTTTCGTCATCATCAGGTGACGTCTTCAGTCTCAGCTGACTGCAGGTTTCAATCTTATAAACAGGACATTTGCATAATGACTGAAACCAGCCCACTGAGGGAACAACGGGCTGGGGGGTCAGTTCCTTAATTCTCATGACCATTGATCAACAACCACTGACCAACGGCCACGAGTCCTATTCACAGAGGCTGGAAGATCAAGGTGCACCCGGTGGAGGTGGGGTGCAGGGGCTTTGTTGCCAGTACAACAGCAAAGCTGCTTAGAGAGACTGGGACCAGAGGACAGGCGCAACGGCAGGCTATAAGAGAGCTAGCTAACACTGCTGAGAGGACCAGTCACTGGCTATGGTTAAAAAGGGCTGACATCACTCTGCCAGCTATGGCAGTCAGCTAACCACGAGAGAAAAGAAATTCTCCGGTCTTCTCCCCTTTTCTGGGAGGCAGTGGGGAGGAAGAGCGTACAGCCGGATCCGGCGGGGAGGTGTGGGAAGCCAGATCGGGCGCCCCCCTTCCACCTCTCCTCTCTGCTCTCTCCTATCTTGTCCCTTTTGTCTTACTTCTCTCGATCACCTTTTCTATTCTTTTGAAGAAGTGAGGCTCCATAAATGCTAAACAGGTGAGTATTATTTCTAAGTTGCAGTGAATAGATAGAAAATAAACTGTAGGAAACTAAACAGAAGAAAGAAGGAGAGAAATAATAAGTTAACATAAACCACTGACACTCCAGGGCCTGACCAACCCTGGCAGGGCCTCCTTGGATGAGGGATTCTAGTGATAATGGCCGAAACACCCGATGAATCCAAGGTCCACTGCTGATGATGTGTCCCAAATTTAAAATGATAATCTAGATCAGATGTCTAATCCCTAAACCTAACCAAGGAAGGAAAATGGCAGATTAGCCTGGGTAAAAGACCGGCAGTTGAGGCACACAACGATGCGTGCTGCTGGCAAAGTTTCTGGGCTTTCCTCATAACAGCCGTCCCTCAAGAGTCTCTCCATCTAAACAAGCATTATCAGGGACTGTAACACCTAGTCCTCACTGAATCTCTGTCTCTCTTCCACAGCATGTCTTTATCCTGTCTTCCTTCTCTCACCCCAACCAATCACAGCAGATGGCCCCGCCCCTCCCTGAGCCTGGTTCTGCCGGAGGTTTCTTCCTGTTAAAAGAGAGTTTTTCCTTCCCACTGTTGCTAAAGCAGTGGGGATCGTATGCAATGTTGCCTGTAATTTTTCATGTGTCTGCGCAAACACACAAACACCCTGAGCGGTGCCTTGGACCACTGTGAGTAACATCAGACGTGTGCAGTTTAATTCTTCTGTTAAAGTATTTCTGTTAGAATACACTGGAACTTACGAATACCCCGTTTCATGAAAAATTCAAGTTACGAAGGCGCTGAACGGCAATATTTCTGCCCGTGTTACAGCAAAATGTCCGCGTAACGAAATCTGCTGGCTCTGATTGGCTGAGCCTACAATGCCCACAATGTCTTCTGAATCATGTGACAACCCCTTGGCTTCCGTACTTGTTGTTCTAGTTAGCAATTAGCCTATAGCCTATCGTTCAGCATCGCCTCACTCAAAACGCGCGATGGGTGCTTCGACCCTCGGGAACAAATCGGGGTTCCGCTGTAGCTCTAATTAAGTGCATTAGCCCACTTACAGTGAAAAGTGCAAACATCTTGTCCATGACCTGTGCAGTATATTAACACCAAATTGGAAGTGAAAATTACTTAAACCCCAATTTTGAAAACAATATTTTTTCATGCTCTGACTTGTATAACGAGTCTGTGTGAAGCTCCTGCTGTGGTCTGGGAGACAGTCCTGGAACTCTTTGTCTGCAAAATACACTATTTAATTACCAATGTTGGGCAAGTTATTTTGAAAAAGTAATTAATTATAGTTACTAGTTAATTCTTCAAAAAAGAGTTTTGCAAACAACAAAGTTGCAGCTATTTACCTAAAAATGCAGCCGAGGCAGTTTTTATAACCATTTCAAACTATTTACAGAACAATCAGGTGTTCTGCATCAAATATGAGTCACACAAATTATTTGCGTCCACTACATTATTTGTGTCTTTGGTGGCTTTTTAGTAGAACTGTGACATTCAGCAGCCGCCTCATTGTTCTGACACACAAACTAAAACTATCCACAAAACAACACATTAACTACACACTCCAAACACGCTAAACGTCACAAATCTCTCACATCTAAAACCTCGCTCTCTCTCACCACCGTCACTCCTCAAATGATTTGTTACGTATTTATTTCAATTTGAATGAAGGTTGGATTGTTTGTGCGCGGAGACTGCGTCAGCAGAGGAAACATTTGTGTTTTCTCTGTTGTCTTTGTTAATGCAGGGTCTTTACCTTACAATATGAGCGCCTCGAGGCAACATTTGTTGTGATTTTGCGCTATGTAAATAAAGCTGAATTGAATCGCGTGACGTTGACGTAGAAAAGAAAGAAATATGTGCAACAAAAAAAACCTGTTGCATAAATCAAACATGGCAAAAGCCGGAGTGACGAAATTAGAAGAACGATTGCAGCCTGTTGGCAACAAACTGACAGCAATCACATCCTGACTCCCACATGTCACAACCCGGTGTTTCAGCTAACAGGGCGAGCTGAGGATCCAGAGACATTCCCAGGAAAGCATCATCAGTGTTCACAGTCTGATGATGGAAAGAGTCGAGGATGGTCCACGTATCACATGTAGGTTAAAAATAAGAGCACATCACACATGATAACAAACATGCACTTTTCAAGCTTTGTCCAATGAAAGATCAGAAAGCAGGTCAAACACCCAGGGTACCACAGATCCTTTCACAGACTGTTATACTGTGATGCTGATGTTCAGCGTGGTTTTTCACCAGAGCTCAACAGAAGCATTAAATCTGATGTTTACAGTGAAAAACAGCAGATTGGAGAGGGGGAGGTGAGAGGCACATCAGCAGCATTTTTCCACTGTTTGGTCATTTTGATGAAATGTTGCGACAAATAGGACATTTCAATATTTTCTATTAAGAGGTAAAAAAAAAATGAGGTTCAGAGCTGATCGCAAAGAAATCAAACCCAGTGTGTCAGTCAGTGTCTTCATCAGCACTGCTGACCACACGTTTAAAGAAGACGTCATTCAGTCGGCTCATTAAACGTAAGGATGGCAGTTTGGGACAAAAACAGGCTGTGGGCTCCTGTTCCTGCTGGCAGGTAAGACGTGTTTAACATTTTTATGTGTCTTATTGTAGCTGCTTGTGTTTTCACATCAAACCTTTCTTCCTGGCTGCCCGACTTCTTTACGTTTCGGAAACTTTGTTTTAGAGCTTCACAGGCAGCAGTCTGTATTTTCTGTCTGTGAACTGAGTCACTGTGTTCGGATCTCAGCTCTGTGTTTGCTCTTCTTTAGGTGCTGTGGGTCAAACTGTGTTCTATCCTCTCAGGTCTACCTGTGCTGTCAGAGGACCCACTGCCACCCTCCGCTGCACCTTCACACCTCTGAAGTCTTTCAAAGTGAATCAAACAGAAGTTCCACCAAAGATCGTCAGAGTCCTCTGGTGTCAGAACCACCGGTACTGCTACACTAACACTCCGTCTGTGTATGACAGTGACTCAGCAAACATCGATCCTCGTTATCAATATCTGGGAGACAAGAAGACAAACTTTACAGATCAGAGATGTTCAGCAGGGAGACAACGCAAGCTTTCGCTTCAGGATGGAAGCTGATCATCGTGAAGGACGTTTTACTAACCAGACAGGAGTGACTGTCAGAGTTGATGGTGAGAGAAAAATGTCCTGGTTCTGACACAAATATTAATCTTTAATATTAACGACTGTTTATTAAAACTAATGAACACTTTGATTTTAGATGGGTCTAAAATGAGAATAATCAGCTCCAGTGATGATAAAAGGGTGAGCAGAGGTGAAACCGTCACACTGCTCTGTCAGTCTGCACTTTCCACCAACTGGAGGTCACGTGGTTCACAGATGGCCACGCCCTCTCAGACACTGGCCCCTCCCTCCCTCTCATCCTGACTGCAGAGGACTCTGGGAGCTACACCTGTGCTCTGAAGACCAACATGGAGACTGTTTCATGAGCCGTACAGCCTGCAGGTGGAGGCAGCGGCAGGTTGGCGTGATCAGTTTCTCTCAGATTTTCTTCTCCGTCAAACAGCTGCATGATGTTAAAAGTTTAGGTGGTTAAAAATGAGTCTAACACAAGTGCAGCCTGTCCATGATCCGTCTGCAATCAGGGAGTCTTAAATCAAGCCCACAAAGGTCTGTTAGTGTGTTTGGAGGCACCGTTTCAGCTTCCTTTTGCTTCTTGCTTTAGTTTCAGCTGTGAGAAAACACCCAGTC